TGAACCCACATCTGTGAGCCCCTTCCTTTGCCCAGACTGTTGCCCTGGCCCAGAGGACCCCCCAGCCTGGGAGAGGGCCTCTGTGGCAAGTCTGGGAGTTGGCATGAGTGACGTGTGCGTGCTTTTAGCCGCTCTCCGCTCCACGTGCACATCCGTGGTGGTGTTGATGCAGAGGCGGAGGACTGGGCGCTGCTAAACATGTGTCTGTCCAGCTTGGTAATCTTTCTTGTCTGCTTAGTCTGTGCCGCTCACGTGGTCTTCTCACCGTTTTCTGTTTCACATGTAACTTCTGCACTACCACTGACATTTCCCATTAGCCTGTCTTTACATGGAACTTCCAAACGGGCTTCCAAAAGCCGGCAGGTCTTAACGCTGCCGCAGGGCCATGGCTTTCCTCTTCCCGCAGTAGGCGCCCCGCCAGTGCCCCAAAAGTCCATTGAGATTAGATCACAGGGAGGCAAATAGAATCCGGAGTTTTTAAGGAAGGTCTTAAAAATGACAAAATTATCGGTGATTCCTCATGCACGCACCGTTTTTGAGGCTGGTGGGCTTTAGAGCAGCTCTTAAAGTAGCTACAGTAAGTACAGGAAGAGACTCCACCTGTGCTTTGCTCTCACATTGATGTGTTTTTGACAAAGGAGAAAGCAGTGTGTCCAGCCATTTACTTGTTAACGAAGGGTTTTTGTTTTACAATGAAGCCCATGGGCCACATCTATTTCTCTTGAGCACCTGACCAGGAAGAGCAGGTGTGTGGCCAAGTCCCCTGCTGCTCGAGCTGGTGCGTGTCACCAGTCCTAGAGGTGACGTTGAGGGAGGTGGGCTCCCAGCGGTCTAAAGGGAAGAGCCAGAATCTTCCCTAGCCTGGTACCTGACAACATGCTTCTGTCCAGACCCTCCACGGAGTCACAGATAACCTGGGGGGCCCTCACTGTCTCCTGAACTGACACTTCTCGTCTCTCTAGCACCGACCCGCTTGCCGCAAAGCTGCACAGCATCCTCACTGATGAGGCTTTTGAGTTTTACTGTAGCCAGTGCCACAAACAAATCAACCGCCTCGAGGATCTTTCTGCTCGCCTGAATGATCTTGAAAAGAATAGGTAACTGAGTAGTGCCTGGCCTTGCTCTTTGTAAGCGGGAGGGAGGGTCTAGTTAACCGCAGTGCTGGCTGGTGGGCCTGGGCCGGGCCGAACTGCAGCTGAAAGGCGAGTGTGCCGGCAGCGGGACCCTTCCTCTGCCCCCACCCCCAACCCCTCCCCGCCTGTGCTGAGCCTGTGTTTGGTGCACTCTGCCCTCTTGCTGTGTGTGCATGCCTTAGTCCGAGCCACTGCTTCTGACCCCACGGGAGGGAACTACCTTCACATGCTGTGTGTCCTGCATGAGGAAGTCCGGCGTGTGAAAGAAACAGATACTGTCTCAATCTTACTAAAAGATTTCTTTAACTGAGAGTTTGTGAAATTTTAAAGTAACATTTGGTCTTTAAAAACTGATTTGAGGGTGCCTGGGTGGCTCAGTTGGTTAAGCGACTGCCTTCGGCTCAGGTCATGATCCTGGAGTCATAGAATCGAGTCCCGCATCAGCCTGTCTTTACATGGAAGACCTGTCCTTACATGGAACATCTTTTCTGTGCTGAGAACCTGCCACAGGGCGGCCATAGTCGCCTGGTGGGTCCCCGTGGCTGACAGCCCTGCTGTACCTGCTGACCTACCTCTCATTCCAGTGCAGCACGTTTAATGTCTTTAGCCCCTTTCCTTATGTTCTGTGCAACACCCACCAACACAGGCTAGACTCCAGCAAATACCCAGTCGAGTGGGGAGGCTTCTTTGTGGCCAGTTGGCAGCTTCAAAGGGGAGTCTGCGGGGAGGTCCTGGTAGTACTGACAAGAACCTAGCCTTCTGGGGAGACTTGGGGGAAATGTGGCATTTAGTGACTTCAGAGACCTGCTGGGTCTATTGTAGGGAAAACCAGTCTTTTATTTTACATAGTGTGTGTTTAGCTGGGTGTTCAGTGCTCCAGGAAGGTCCCGCCACCTGGCTGGGGAGGGGTCTCCTATGCTTCCCATATGGAGATCTGCTGTCCTGCTTAAGTGGGTTCGAGTACAGGAATGCCATGTCTATTTGAGAGTTAGCACAAAGACATGTATCTCATCTCTCATTTCTGCAGTGATCTTTTCTGTGCTGCGAACCTGCCACAGGACGGCCATAGTCGCCTCTGCCGGGCCTTTTTTTTTTAAGTCTTTTTTTTTTAAGATTTTATTTATTTATTTGAGAGTGAAAGCGAGAGAGATCACGGAGGGGGAGAAGCGGGCTTCCCGCTGAGCAGGGAGCCCAATGTGGGGATTGATCCCAGGACCCTGGGATCACGACCTGAGCTGAAGGCAGTCGCTTAACCGACTGAGCCACCCAGGCACTCCCTCTGCCGGGCCTTTTGAGGGGAGCCTGGGACGCGGCTAAGTGTAGCTGGCATGTTCATGGGGCCTTGTGTCCAGTCTCAGCCATTTCCTGAGGAAGACCCTATCGGGGTGGATTCATATGCCATTAAAATCATTACTGTAATCACAACACAACTGTTGGGAAATTTCTCCCAAACACTGAAGTTAAGGAGATATAAATCTTGCTTGTTGGTTTCCATGGAATTGCCACAAAATAAATATATTTGGTTTTGGTTTGTGGATGGTAAAACGTGATTCAGTCCGAACTGTGTCTGGAAGGTTTGATGTCAAATATATTCTTTTTTTTTAAAAGATTTTATTTATTTATTTGAGAGAGAGAGCAAGCACAAGCAGGGGGGAGATGAAGAGGGAGAAGCAGGCTCCCCGCTGATCAGGGAGCCCGATGTGGGGCTCGATCCCAGGACCCTGAGATCGTGACCTGTGCCAAAGGCAGACGCTTTACCGAGTGAGCCACCCAGGCGCCTTGTCAAATATATTTTCTACCCAGTGAACCTCAGAACATGCCTATGGTGATCCTGTTTTCCAGGTACCTGGGAGCCTCTCTGAAAAAATTCATTATGTAGAAATTAACAAGGATATTAAGAAGAAATCAAGAATAAGAAGGTCTATTTTCCAATTATAAACCTCAAAACTGGACTGGCGGTGCGGTCCCTGCAAGGTCACTGTGTCCTGAGTCCCCTGCTATTAGGATGAAGTCTGGGGTGTCAGTCGGGGTCCTGCCAGGAGAGGGGGCACACAGTAGTGTGAACGAGGAGGGTTTAATAAAGACTGAGTAGGGGCGCCTGGGTGGCTCAGTTGGTTGGGCAACTGCCTTCGGCTCAGGTCATGATCCTGGAGTCCTAGGATCGAGTCCCACGTCGGGCTCCCTGCTCAGCGGGGAGTCTGCTTCTCCCTCTGACCCTCTTCCCTCTCATGCTCTCTGTCTCTCATTCTCTCTCTCTCAAATAAATAAATTAAAAAAAAAAATCTTTAATAAAGACTGAGTAACCGTAACTGGGGACTGAGTGATGAGGCGCTGGCTGCTGAGAGTGACGGAGGCTCGCCAGAACAGCAGCTTTGAGGGGCAGCCAGCCCACCTGGCACTGAGGGCCCACCTGCTGCCCGGCGCCTGGCTGCGGCCGTGGGCAGCAGATGCCCCCCCTGTTGCCACACCGGCGGGACTTGTTGGGAACCTACCTTCTAGAACTTGATGGAAGTCTGCCCTCTGGCTGCCAGAAAGCCTCACCAGGAGGGGCCTCAGCAGAGACGCTCTGTGGCAGAATTGCCTGTGGAGCTGCAAGGATGCTGCCGGTATACGGGGAGCCACGGGGCAGGCTCTGGGGTGAGATGGACCAGATGTAGCCGGGCACACGAGGACGTGTGGACACGTGGGGGGCCCTCTAGCACCCTCTACTGGTAGAAACTGCAAAGGAAGAATCGGAAAGGGGCCCGGATCCATTTCCACAGAACAAGTAGGAAGGACGAGTGTGGAGGTGGGAGGCCGTAAATCCATAACTGACACAGCACCTGTTTCTCCTCGGATAGAGTTTTCTCCCCAAGCCATGAGGGAGTCGTAGGTGTATCTGAGATAGCACGCTGAAGGGAGGCAGGATGGGGCTGGTTCCTGGTGGGCTGAGGCCCATAGCTTAGCAGTTACGTTGAAAATAAAACTGGGGGCGCCTGGGGGGCTCAGTCAGTGAAGCGTCTGCCTTCAGCTCAGGTCATGATCCAGGGGTCCTGGGATCGAGCTCCACGTTGCACTTCCAACAGGGAGCCTGCTTCTCCCTCTGCCCCACCCCCCCGTGCTCTCTCACACACGCTCTCCATGTCTCTCTCTCTCAAATAAGTAAATGAAATCTTAAAACAACAACAACTCTGGACTTAAGAAATGAGAGACAAGGTAAGTTTGGCCTTTTTTGCCACTGCAGACGATTCTATCAGCTGGACGATATGCAATTGACCGTATTTACTGCCCTGAAGTGGCCGCAGGAAAGGCCTCTAAGTCACCGCCTGGGCAGGATTTTGGACCCTGAGGTTTCAGTGCCTAAGTTAAAGCTGATGACAGAACTTTGCTGACACAGAACAGGCCTGTGTCAAGGTTCTTGTGGGGGCCTCTGATGGCCAAGCAGTTGGAGGGTATGCATTTGGGGCATGGCAGTTGCCAGCAGCTCGACCCAGTGCAGCTGACTGGTGGGTGCCGTGCTGAGCTCGACCTCTGAGCTGAGGTCTGGTCGTGGCTCTGTCTGGGATTTCTGTGGGAGTGGAATAATGTGACTTGCTGAGGCCTTGGCAAGGCCCTGAGATTGCTCCCATGTCCCTGAATGCTTTGCTGAGCAGGCCTTTCTGTGCATGGTGCTGGCCTTGGGGGCAGGCGCTGCATGCCTGTGAACATGCCCCCAACCCCGTATCTCTTCAGCCTGAATTTCCTGTTTCCTCCCATTCCTCCCTGTCTGTTCTCTGACATGATTTTCCTGTTTATTTTGATTTTGCACAGTCCAGCGAAACGGCTCTCCAGCAGGAAGGTGGCAAGGTAGGAGACCCGTCGTTATTTACTGAGACGTTCTTCTGAAATGTATCACTGATCATAACTCTTTAAAAACATGTTTGGAAAATACCATTCTCCAAGGTACTTTTTTAAATCTTTGGAAATTACTTCTCGTGCTTTGGGACTGAAAATAATTCTCGGGGATGGGTTCTGAAAAGAATGTCCACCGCTGTGAGCAGACCCTGGTTTGTGACGGGGAGGTTTGTGCTGAAAGCTTCTGGCATTGCGCCCTTCTTACCAAGTCTTTGCCATAAGGTCCAGGAGGGGCTGGTGGTGTCCCCGTGTGTCTGCTATCTGCTAGCCCATGGTAGCATCTGCGAGGGTCCTGGCAGAGCCCAGGTCTGGGGTCCGGGTCAGCCTCTCCAGCGGCCCTGCTCTTCCCGCCCCCACTGGTTCTCCAAGGTGAGGAGAAGGTGGAGGAGGCATGCCTAAGGCCGAGTTTCTGAAGAATACGCTTTTGTGGCCATTTCTCCACTTTCCAGCATTGGGTCTACCTGTTGGCTTCCTGCAGTGAGAGATGGCAGCGCACACCAGTGCCCTGCCCCTGCCAGGCTGGCTCTGAGGATGGTTTTCGCAGGCTTGTCCGATGACCGCATCCTTCCCAGGACGCTGCGTAACGCTCACTCGCTTCCTTTCTCAGACCAGTGGTCTTCTGGAGTCAGTGATGGCTGTGCTGTGGCTACCCGCCTCGCCTCCTCGCGGCGCCCCTGCAGCTGACTGGGCGCCACCCCCAGGGCCTCCAGCATTTGCACCCGCTCAGCGGCTGTGGGCGGTGGTCCTGCAGCCCCCGCATGCGCTCCGGTACTTGTTTCAGGGCTTGTCATTTCACTCCCTGATCCCGTCTTCCATTTTTGGGTTGTTGGTTTTTTTTAAAGATTTTATTTATTCATGAGAGACAGAGAGAGAGAGAGAGTGGGAGAGGCAGAGGGAGAAGCAGACTTCCCGCGGAGCAGGGAGCCCGATGCGGGACTCGATCCCAGGACCCCGGGATCATGTCCTGAGCCGAAGGCAGACCCTTAACAACCAAGCAACCAGGCGCCCCCGGAGATACATTTTTGAGATCTTGCTGGGTCCCTTCCTCCCATCCTTTGGCTTGGTGTAGGATTCCCGGTTGGGAACCCCTCGCATGAAAGCTTCGTAGGCACCACTTGGTACCTTCCAGCACTAGGGCTGCTGCTAGAGCCCTGAAGCTTTCTGGTTTTCTTTGCGACCTTTTCTCTGGAAGTTTTTCAGATGTTTTCTCTATCCCTGAAGTTCAGAAACTTTACGATGAGTCTTGTGAGTCCTTCTTCCCATTAATTACGCTGTGCAGAATGACAGACGGACTGTTTGATGTGGGAGTTCCCACCCCTTAGTCCTGGGGACCTTTCTCAAGCTGTTTGACAGTGTTGTCCGCCCCTGTCCTCCTTCTGAAACTCCTGGTTGTGGCCCTGACTGCCTCATCCTTGCTGCCCCTGTGGCCCTTTGCTCTGGCCCCTCCTGTGACAGGCCACAGGCTCTTCCTCCCCATCTCTTGTCCTTGTCTTTCTTGGTAGAGTTTCCCTTACAGCCGGGGCTGGTGCTTCTGTCCATGGTGCAGTGGTTGCCCACGGCTGCCGCGTGGCCTCTGGCTGGCGTGTGTGCGGACAGGCTCTGTGCCGGCTGCCATTCCAGAGGAACCCTTGCCTGGCTGTCAGGCTTCAGGATCTGGGCTGGGCTGTGTGTTTGCTGCCCATGGGCCCAGATGTCTGGCTCCGCCTCTGTGAGGGTGCAGTCTCAGGTGCTGGCCTTCCTGGTCGGCTGCAGCCCTCCTGCCCCTTTCCTACACCTCTTCTCTTGTCTGTGGCCTGTGAACCTCCTGTTTTTCTTTTTCTGTAATCTTAGGGGCTTAGGACCCAGCAGAAGCAGAGGTGAAGGTCATCAACCCTCCTCTGCACTTGTTCTCACCATCCCCCTTGTAGAGGAGCATCCAGACTCCAAGGAACATAATGTTTGTTCCAAACCACACGGTGATTACAAGTTAGCATTGCTTTCCTCCTCCCCACACCCATGTTCCACCCCAGAGACGCTACAGGGGCTGCAACGAGGGAAGGTAAAAGTCTCTGCCCAGCCTCCCACGTCCAGGATGTGGACGGGCCCTGGGGTCCCTGGCCCGTGCTGCCTCAGCTGTCTGTCTGCCCGCTTCTTTGAAACACCCTCTGAGAACGTGATCTTCCCTTCACAGATGGGCTTTGGTATGAAAAAGCCTAGTCTGTAGGTATTTATAGTTGCGGTTCACACACGGAGCGTATTCCGCAGTCTGTACGCACATGCACTCATGCACATGCACACACGCACTCATGCACACGCACTCATACATGCACACACTCACATGCACACAGTTGTAATCTGCTGCCATTTTGCACTTAAAACCAGCACTAGAATTCTAAGGGAACTGAAAATAACTGGCACTTTCACTCTTCACGGTGTCTCAGGCCTTTGCATGCGGCACTGTAGCTGGATCGTGGGGTTTGGACCCACCAGCTCTGGCCTCTGTGACCTGGCTGTGTGCTTACCCCACGTGGAAGTGGCTGTGGGGTCAGTGTGCCTGCAAGGACCTGGAGGCGCCAGTACAGGGCTGGCCTCAGGACACAGTGGGAGGGGGGGCACCAGCGGGACTGCCACAGGGCCAAGGGCGCCCACAGGGCAGAAGGTGCTCTGGGGGGTGTATCAGATATCTCCCACAGCCCCCTCTCCTGCTGGGTCTCCCGAGTGGGGGTGGGTTGACGTAAACAAGGCCCTCCCCTTCAGCATGTGCCTAAAGTGGCCACATGCCGGCTGCCACCTTCCTGTCCCATGTTCAGCCCTTGGGAAGTGCTGTGAGCTCCTGGTAGGAGCTCAGGAGGGGGTGACAGACTTTGGACTATGGCTTCTCTGCAGGGTGGTCTCTGGGTCTGGGGTGGGCAGTTTTCTGCCCTGGGAGTGACATGAGGAGCTCTTGTTGGGGCCAAAGTCATGGGCGTTTAAAAGCAACAACTGGACAAAAACAGGATGACCGTTTGGCTTCAGTGTCTCACCCAGGACACATCCAGGGATTTGTGATCCCCAGGGGTAAAGGTGCCCTTCTTTTTTGTTCCCCTTAGAACATTTCTGGAAAAAATTTAAGAAATGGACAAGGTCAGTCAATACTAAAAAGAAAGTAGAACTTCATACATTTAATAATGTAGAGATCTGCAATGTGATTTTTAATAGCATTTTATTGAATTCTTATTCTGTGTTATATCTTTAACAGGAGCTGTTTATATATAAAATCTCATTTATACCTTGTTACGGCTTTTGATCCCTATTTCCTGGGAGAGTAAGGCTCAGGGAGGATGAGTGTCTATCTCAAGGCCACACAGCTCTGAACATCAGGCTGCTGCGTTGGGAGCCTGGGTCGGCACAGGTAGACGTGCTACTGGCACTCTGGGCAAATGATCTGAGAATTTTAAGAGAAAGGAAATTAGAGCTGATACAGTGTCCCCACAGCCAACAAGACTGTCTCTAGGGGGACTGCAAACATGTGTTTGCTGAGCACCTGCGAGGGGGCCAGTAGCTAAGGAGTGAAGGCAGGGGTTTCCACAGGTCCATGGGATTTCTGGGCTGCACAGCACCCGGTGTGGCCCAGGGGGGCAGGGGCCCTAGGCCCCTGGTGCTGGGCCCTTGGAGCTGTTGCTGCAGAGGATGGTTCGTTTCCAAGCTCGACCCCAGGAGAAACTCTGGGTGAGACCCCCGGTCTCTCACTGTTACTGCCACAATGAATAGGTTTGAAAATCAAGTAGCAAGAGTGCATGTGGGTGACGCTGTGTATGGAATTCAGGATCCTGAAGTAATGTTTCACGGGCCGTGGCGGAAGACAAGATTATTTCCTATCACAGAGAGGAATGAAGTCATGTTTTATTACCCAGGACAAAGTACTTTCACCCGTTAGCTGCCAGGGAAGGAGGCCGGGAGGTCAGGTTCCAAAGAGCAGCAGAGATTCTCTCCAGCCCTTGGGTAACAGCGTCCTGCCGGGACCCCTTTGGTGGAGGCCTGGGCCCGCGCTGCTGGGTTCTGGTTCTCAGGTTGATCTGGAAACCCTCATGTTTACAGAACTCATCGTCTTTTCTGTCTCTGCTCTGCTGAAGGGCCTTCTCTGGACTGGCCTCTTGTTTCTTCTCCACAGACACCTGCACCAGTCAGGGGCCCTGACCATGGATGCCCTGCAGGACCCTGCCCCAGACCTCGTGGACGGCATGGAAGAGGACATTGCTGATAAGGTCGGCCCCGGGGTGCAGGGCCAGAGGGAAGGCCCCCTACTGATAACACAGCCAGGTCTTAGGGTGCTTGTGGGTGCTGCGGCATCATGGTGCAGGCCACATGGGGTGAGGGGTTGGGTGAGGGGTGGTAGTGTGCCATCAGGGGCTAATTAGATCCTCCACCAGTCCTGACATTGTCCAGCAAGTTTCCTAGAGGCCCAGTGGCCATGGGATGCAAGGGAACATTTCCTGGTATGCGCGGAGCGGGAATGGAGAGGTCAGATGTGGGCCCATCCGGGTGCACTGACGCTCAGAGACTCCCTTCACCTGGACCCTGGAGGCAGGACCTTCGGCCGCTCAGGGTTTCAGGGTGGTGATCACAGAGCCAGACCACGTGTGGAATCAAAGTTCCCAGAGAGGCCCTGTGGGGTGGGTGCCTTGGGACCGGGCAGCCTCGCTGTGGAAGCGGCCCCAGACTTCTCGAGGGCCAGCTCAGCAAGAGGTGAAGAGAAGGGGTGGCAGCACATCCTTACCTCCTCCCGTGCCCCCAAGCTCACGTCCTCCCTTCCCCCCATGCTCACCTCCTCCCGTCCCCCATGCTCCTCTCCTCCCATGCCCCCCCTTGCTCACCTCCTCCCATCCCCCCCTTGCTCACCTCCTCCACAAAAGAGATGGATCCAACTCCAGCCTAGTGGACACTACCCCCGAAACAGTTGGCTGGGAATGCAGGCTGTCTTGCGTCCCGATTCTGAAGCCGTTGTGTCACTCCCCAGGTTGTGTTCCTGGAGAAGCGGGTGTCGGAGCTGGAGAAGGACACTGCCGCCAATGGGGAGCAGCACAGCCGGCTGAGGCAGGAGAACCTCCAGCTTGTGCACAGGTGAGGCAGGAGGGCCTCCGTGGTCATGGGTGCCTATCAGTGTGAGAGCCCACTCCTTGTAGCCCTCTGCACCTTACAGAGCAGGGTCTTGCTGCCACTAGGGTGTGGCTCACCTCTGGAGCTGTCCCTCCGCCAGCTGCTGGGAGCCAGGTCAGGGGGGCAGTTCCAACTCAGCACTTTCGCCTGACACTTGTCAGGCTCCAGAGGAAGGTGCAAGGGGAGGCACCACCTCACATCTCGGGAGCAGTGAGGCCCGCACCAAGCACCTGGTAGAGACTGGACTTCATGGTGGGGGAGGCCACGTGGGGAGAGGGGCACTGGGACTCTCTGATGGGGGCCCCGAGTCGGGTCCCCGATTCTGAGAACCTGTCCTGACCCTGACATGCCTGGAATGGACTTGTTGCTGTGACGAGTGCTGTATTTGGGGCACCTGCATCATCCCCTGTCCCCTTCCCTGTGACCTGTGAGGTGGTGCCACCACTGTACCAGCTCACAGGGGAGGACACTGAGGCACGGGTCACTTCAGAGACAGCACGTAGGGGCTGTGGAGGGCAGGGCCCCCAGAACCCCCTGCACTTGGGAGCGGGACCCACCCTGGAAGCATGCGGGTTCTTGCAGCCACTTAGCAAAGATGAATAGACTGGCAACTGCTGACCGACGATGCACAGTCTGGCCCGATTGGGCCCCACACTGAGGAGGACAGTGCATCACTGGGGGAGTGGCGTGACCTCCCCCACCATTGTTCTGTCTGGGTTTTGGAACGGGTCGTGCCATGTAGTCTCACGCCCAGTTTAAGGGAATACATTTTTCGTGCAGCATAGGAGCTTGGCTCAGGAGCCTCAGTTCTCTGGGCTGTGCCTGCTTGCAGCTGGGTGTCATGGGGACACAAACAGATTGTGGGGAGGCCCCGGGGGCGTGAAGGAGGCTCTGCCATACACTCTGTGACCTCAGGCGAGGGCCCCTCCCCTCGCAGCCTCCGTGTGCTTGCCCCTGATGCAAGCAGGTGGACTCCAAGTGCATCCAGGAGGTGTGCTTCCAGCAGGGCTGGACACAGGCCCGATGCCCTCACTTGGCTCCTGCTGTGAAGCTTTCATCCTGGATGGCACTGACTTTCCTGACCTTCCTCCAGTGTTGGGCGGGCAGTCTGCTCTTTGGAGGCTGAGTTAGAATGAGTCGTTACTGCAGACGTCACCCGTACGTCACTTACACAGTACAAGCAGGTTGTCTGTGCAGTCAGGAGCCTGGGCTGGACACAGCGCACTGTCCAGGCTCTCCCAGCAGGGCCTGCCTGCGTGGTCCTGCTGCAGAACTGGGGGTAAGGTCAGCATGCTCACGGAGGGCCTTGGTTCTAGCGCTGAGCCAAGGGTTTGCTGCATCTCTGGAGACCTGCGTTCCCCTCCCTGTCTGCATCCAGTGAAACCTGGATGTGCTACCACACTCATTTCTCCAGCTGTCTGGTGAGGCTCCATCTGATCTCAAGGCACTTATCAGTTATCCACGTCTGGAGTGGAAAGTTCACTCTCTGTGCCCCAGGGCCTGGCACGTCCAAGCCTGTGGGTGTTTCTTGGGCTGTTTCCTGAGTTCTCCTAAAAACAACATGCTTCTGCTGCTTCGTGAGGGTTCCCAGGGTTCACATTGTCGCCAGCCTGCTGCATGGCTACTACCCCTTTACCAGCACCCTGGCAGTCCCGTACCGGTTCCCCTGCCTCCCAGCTGTCCCACACAGGTTCTCCTGCTTGGCTTTTTTTTTTCTTTTTAAGATTATTTATTTTAGAGCGAGAGGGAGAGAGCACGAGTGTGCATGAGCAGGGGCTGGGGCAGAGAGAGAATCTCCAAGCAGACCCCTCACCAAGTGCAGAGCCAATGCAGGGGTCAGTCCCAGGACCCTGAGATCATGACCTGAGCCAAAACCAAGAGTCAGACGCTTAACCTGCTGGGCCCCCCAGGCACCCCTCGTGCTTGGCTTCTTGCTTTCTGGATCCCATGTTTTCTTCTTTTCTTGCTCATTAATTGTCTGCGGAGAGCACCCCTGGATGGTTGCCTGGCGGAGAGTGCAGAGGAGTAGGTTCTGCGAGGCCACGTGTGTCTGGAGTGTGTCCGTCCACTGATAGTGTGGCTCGGTCTGGAACCATAGCTGGAGGCAGGGTTCCAAGGAAACCGGCAGGCAGGCGCTGGTGCCCTCTGTGGGTTCTGGGCTCTCACCCTGGATGCTGGGAGGGCCTCGTTTCCTGTGCTGGCACATGGGTTCCAACCTTTAAATCTCAAAGATACCCCTTAAAGGCTTCGGGAAGGTTTTTAGAATTATTTCTCTGTATAGTTTGTTCTTTTTCTTTATCTGTCTGAACTTCTGTTCATCAAATATGTTAGACCTTCTGGAAGTTTCTTCTCATTTTCTTTACTTTCCTGTTCTCTAATTCCGTCATTTCCCTCTTTTTAAGCGGGCTCCACACCCAGCACGGAGCCTGACACAGGGCTCGATCTCACGACCTGGGCTTTTAGCTCAAGAGTCGGACGTTGAACTGACTGAGCTGCCCAGGCACCCCATTTTCCTCTTTTTAAAAATGTAGGGGCGCCTGGGTGGCTCAGTCGTTAAGCATCTGCCTTTGGCTCAGGTCATGGTCTCAGGGTCCTGGGATCGAGCCCCACGTCTGGGTCTCCGCTCAGCGGGAAGCCTGCTTCTCCCTCTCCCACTCCCCCTGCTTCTGTTCCCTCTCTCGCTGTCTCTCTCTCTCTCTCTGTCAAGTAAATAAATAAAATATTTAAAAAAATAATAAAATAAAAATGTAATATTCTTGGTTTTCTCCTTCAACTCTTACTGAATTTAAAATTTTTTCTCCTCATGTTTTCAGTTTCTAAGAATCACTTTCTAAATCTCCTTCAGATGTTCTGCTCCTATTTCCCTGGAAGTGGTATCTTCGCTCTGAGGTGTGAATTACAGGGCTTTCTCCTGTGAGGGGTCCTTTTTCTCTGATGGCTTTGGCCGCTTTGTGTCGACTCCTTTCCTATGGAGTCTGGTGATCTTTGGTACTCTGTTCACCCTTAGGTGTGAGGCACCAAAAAGAGGTTGAGAAGCCCTGTGTGCATGGACAGCTCGGGGGCGTGGGCTCTGTGGGCAGGGCCTGGAGCCCTTCTCTTTGGGATGGTCAGTTCCTGTCTCTTGCAGGTGGGTGTGGTGATCTGGAAGGTGCCAGGGTCAGGGCCCCCATGTGAACATTCCCTTTGTCCGCCTCCTCGCTAACACTTGCCCTTGCCTCTGCCATGGGTGACCTGCGTGTGCAGCCTGAAGTGTCGTTGCAGGGTCCTCCTGGAGGCGGGCACCTGGTGGGCTTGTGCCCCTGGGAGGGCTCCTGCCCACATGCTGGGATGGGGGTGAGCGGCCTGAAAGCGATGGAGACCACGGTTCGGAGGCCCTGGGTGCCGGTGTGGGAAGCGGAAGCGGTCTTGGGGGCACAGCCTCTGCTTCAGAACCATTCTTGAGCAGAGCTGTGGATGGGAGTCTCACCGCCTCTGCTGCCCCTCCTCCAGGTAGGCGCTGGGGCTGAGAGCAGAAGGCCTCTTACCTCCTCCCCTTCGCCTCCACAGAGCCAATGCCCTCGAGGAGCAGCTGAAGGAGCAGGAGCTGAGAGCCTGTGAGATGGCGCTGGAGGAGGCCCGGAGGCACCGAGAGCTCGTGTGCAAGATGGAGCGGGAGCGGAGCATCGAGGTGGAGAGCCTGCAGGCCAGGTGGGGTGCGCGGCCTCAGCAGCTGCCCCACCCAGGCCGTCTGCTGTTTGGGAATGGAGCTGCCTTTTTAATTAATTAATTAATTAATTAATATTTATTTATTTATTTTTGAGGATTTTATTTATTCATTTGAGACACAGAGATAGAGAGCATGAGCAGGGGGAGGAGCAGAGGCAGAGGGAGAAGCAGGCTCCCCGCAGAGCAGGGAGCCCGATGCGGGGCTCGATCCCAGAACCCTGGGATCATGACCTGAGCCGAAAGCAGATGCTTAACCAACTCCAGCGCCCCTGGAGCTGCTTTTAGAGAAAGGGGGAAACCCACTGAGGAGAGCTGTAACACTGCTCAAGATCAGAATTTGAACACAGACCCTCCATGATGTCATTTTGAGTCTCTCTGCTGTCCACGTTCTCCCCATCAGAGCACCGGTCCTTTTTGAGACTTGACAGGAGTCCCTTTCTGCTTATCTGGAGTTAGGAGCCTTTGAAGAGTCAGGAGAAGTGGGAAAAAACAGCACATGGGTGTGCGCACCCTGCAGGAAACACACAGTAGAAGCTGGAGACTGACAGCAGCCCCCACGCAGGCTCGCGGCTGGAGGGGCAGCACAGGGTGCTGTTGGGCAGAGCGAGCCCGCACGTCTTCCAGCGGGGAAGGGAAGAGGCCACCTGTAGGCAGACACTGTGGGTGCTGCTCCGGGGACAGCCAGGCCTGGGCAGCTGGGGGACCTTCTTTCCTGGGCCTCGGCACAGTGTGGTTCAGTGTGTTCCTTATCTCTGTGTGCTGGAGCCTCTCCCCTGCGGCTCTGAGCAGGACAGCAGCCTGGAGGGGGTGATGTACACCAGGTGTCATGAAGCCCTCGGGGGACAGGGCAGGACTCCACGTCAGTGCTTCTGAGCAGACCTGCCGCCTGCTCTGTGTGGCTAGATCCTGTCAGCCTCCTGCAGTTACCTGGGGGTGGAGTGGGGCAGGTCAGCACCCTGAGGTCAGCCCAGGACAGGGGCCTCTGTAGTGTGGCCCCAGCCCACTGTGGTGCACAGGAAGACCCTTACTCAGTACAGGGGACCGCAGAAGGTGACAGGATGGACAGGACTGTGGAAAGGAGAAGGGGCTCCTTGGAGATGGGGCTGAGTCTGTGGCTGGGATGGGAGAGAAGCCAGCGGAGCTCGCAGCATCTCATCGTGTCAGAAAGTAGGGAAGTGCTCAGAGAAAAGCACATATCTACACACAGTGATGGGGCAGCTGACAGGGCTCCTGATGGTCAAAGCTGGACCACTTTGAGTAACACACTAATAATGATACTATTGGACCATAACCCAGAGCCCAACTCAGTGTGAGGACTGGTGAAGACGTGGAGACAAGACACGAACCTTCCTCACAGAGGAATTCCCAACGATACGGGGAGCCTCTCCCGGGGTGGCGCTGAGTCCCCCTCCCCCGAGGCGCGGGCCGGGCCCGGTGACGGGCTTCCAGAGGACAGGGAACACACGGGAGGAGACACCTGGAAACACACCTTCACCAGGTGGTCCAGGTCGGCATCGCCAGCGGCGAGTCATGTGGACTCGGGCACCCAATCGGGTAACATGGGCACCTCACCTCTGTGACCCATCTCATCCCGAGAAACACCAGACAAACCCAATGTGAGGGGCATTGGACCTAATATGGGACCAGAACTGCTCAAAACGACCAAGGTCATGAAAAGCCGGGAAGGGCCTCCAGACTGTCACAGACCAGAGGGGACAAAGGAGACGAGGCGGCAAAGTGCAGTGTGGCCCCGAGAGGGGCCCTGGGGTGGGAAGGGGCACTGGTGGGAAATCAAATGAAGTCTGTGGTTTGGTGACTGGTATATCCCAGTGTGGCTGTGTGGGCTGTGGCAAAGGCACCACAGTGATGAGCAGATGCCATGCGGGAAGCTGTACGGGGCTGGGGTCCACAGGGACTCTGCACTATGTCTACAACTGTTTTGTAAACCCACAAGTATCCCCAGACCCAAAGTGTATTTAGTAACCGTCCTGGCTTAAGGAAAAGTTAGGGCCTAGAGTACTGGAGTGGTGCGTAAGGACTGGGGCGTCTTGGGGAGCCTCTGTGGGTCCCGGGTGACTCCTGGTGGGGCTGCCGAGACAGTGGGCCTCCCTTGCCTCAAGGAGGCACATTTCCTGGGTATGAGGTCCCAGCCTTGTTCTTGTGTCTCAGGCTGCAGCAGCTGGACGAGGAGAATGGGGAGCTGAGGTCGTGCACGCCCTGTCTGAAGGCCAACATTGAGCGCCTGGAGGAGGTGAGTGGTCAGCTGGGAGCGCTGAGTACATGGGGCCCAGCCCTGTAATATGTGGGCATGAGATCAGCCAGGCTAGCTTGAGCACGTTCTTCCACCGTCTGCAACCGAGGGGTTCTCTAAAGCGGGACAGCCACACAGCCAGCCAAGGGTGTGACCACAGGCCAGGAAGCCATGCTGCTCTAGAGAGCAAGCTGATGGCCCTGGGCCCACAGGCCCCATGGGGTGGGGACAAGGACAGCTTGGGCCTGGCCGTCACTTTGTTGGAAGATGTTGGTCCCTGCCTGGCTTCCCAGCTTTCCCACAGACACGGGATCCTTGGGTCCAGAGGTTCAGCTGAGATGAACCTGTGGCTGAATTCAGGGCCAACTTCAGCTGGACCCCTCATGCCCTGTCCTGCAGGTATTCACTGGAAAGGCCTCTCCATCCCCATCCTCCCCTCCCCGCCAAGTGTCCCTGGGAAGCTCTGAACCCTGAGGACATCCAAGACCACATGGGCTCTGGCTCCCGTGAGCAGTTCCCGTGGAGCAGCTGTGGGTCAGATCCTGCTCTTGCATAGGTCGTCCCTGCCCTGCCTCCCCTGAGAAGCTGTCCCTGTGTCCTGTGCAACCAGCCCGTTCCGGAGCACCACAGGCCCACCTGCCTGCATGGTGGTCAGGGTCAGCATGGCCCCAGAGGTGTGTGCACCTCTGCCATGATGGGGTGGCTTAGACGCAGCCTTTACGGACTGAGCCAGGAAAGCTGTGTGAACGGGGCGGCAGGCAGGCATGTTCGCAGCAAGTCTCTTGCTTCCACAGGAGAAGCAGAAGTTGCTGGATGAGATTGAAGAGTTGTCCCTACGGCTCAGTGATGAGCAGGAAAACAGGAGGAAGCTGGGGGACAGGCTGAGCCACGAGAGGCACCAGTTCCAGAGGGACAAGGAGGCAACCCAGGAGGTGAGCATGTCGCCCTCTGTGTCCTGAGACCCGAGGCCGGGAACCGTGTGGTGCCGTGCTGGACAGGGCTGCTGGGCGTGAGGGGTTTGTCATCCTACTTGGAAATGGCACTCAGACTGACCCAGAGGTTCCGAAGCTGAGGGCTGAGCTAGTCCTTGCCGCCCGGGTGCCTGGAGCCCTGTTCACCCCGAGGTTGCCCGCAGCTGATCGAGGACCTGCGCAAGCAGCTGGAGCACCTACAGCTTTTCAAGCTGGAGGCCGAGCAGCGGAAGGGCCGGGGCAGCAGCATGGGCCTGCAGGAGTACAACAGCCGCGCCCGAGAGAGCGAGTTGGAGCAGGAGGTCCGCAGGCTGAAGCAGGTGCGGGCAGACACACCCCTATACCCTGCAGAAACTTCCAGGAGCCCGGCGTGGGGCGGGGCACATGCGAGGGGGCGGGTGGCTGGTGCCTGAGCCAGAAGCCACTCTGGCCAGTCCCTGTGCAGGCTCAGCCACCAATGGGGTCACGGCCCCAGGAAGGACGCTGCTGTCATGTCCCCCACCCAGGATAACCGAAACCTGAAGGAGCAGAATGATGAGCTCAACGGGCAGATCATCAACCTGAGCATCCAGGGCGCCAAGAACCTCTTCTCCACGTCCTTCTCGGAGTCCCTGGCTGCAGAGATCAGCTCCGTCTCCCGAGATGAGGTAAGGCCCATCCAGGCCCGGCTACCCAGATGTGTCCCAGTCTGTGCACCAAGCCAGCACTGATGCTGCTCTTCCTGCAGCTCATGGACGCGATTCAGAAGCAGGAGGAGATAAACTTCCGCCTGCAGGATTACATTGACCGGATCATCGTGGCCATCATGGAGACCAACCCATCCATCCTGGAGGTCAAATAGAGGCAGGAAGGCCCAGTCTGGTGGGCCCAGGACCCCACCTGCACCCAGGAGATGGCCACGGCGCGCGCACAGCCGAGACCAGTGGCTGGGCTGGGGTGCAACAACGGGTCTGCAGAGGGAGAAGGAACGGGAGCCCTGGGACCGGGGCCCACGCAGGAGAGGGTGGGGCTGGGCCTGCTCTCTGCAGAGATGCGGAGACTACGTCTCAGGCTCAGGTGAGCCCTTCTGGGAGCTCCCTCCCGTGTGGCAGACCCCTCTGCAGCCCTACCCATCAGGAAAGGAAGGAAGGATACATCCCCACCGGGGTGCTGCCGTGTGCATCTGCTCAGGGGCCCTCACCCGCATGGCACAGAGTCCCCAGGACCCTCTCGCCAGACGTGGTGATTTGGGAAGTACAGGCAGGCGAGGCGATGTGCGTCAGGGTCTGGCTAGGAGCTGTGGGGGTCCCAGCTTTCCTGGGGCCGTCACCCATCCAGAGGGGGCACTTCAGTGCCTCACTCCAGCCTCCAGATACTCCCGTGGGGGCTGGGGCAGGAGCCTCCCCTCTGAAATCAGGACTTGAGAGTCTCCCCACGTGGAGCATGCTTTCCGGACAGGGTGGATGTCACTGGCTGACCCCAGGTGCAGGCAGTATCCTGGTGAGAAACTGCCTCCCTGTCCGTGTGGCCTCCCAGCCTCCTGGAGCCGCCCTCCCTGGGCAGATCTCAGCTGCCCCAGGTGAGTCCTGGTTTCCTAGGCAGAGTCCACGTGTCTGGAAGCACGTTTCCTCTGGGAGTTTGAAGTTGTTGAAGTGGCCATCCTTCCCTGAGCTGGGTTTTGCAGGTTCTCTCAGTACAGAGATCAAGAGCAGAGAATAGGGCCCTCCTGGCAGCGTAGGGGCTCCTTGCCTGGCTCTGTGCCCCCACTGCCAGGCCCCACATCATCGTGGGGACTGCTGGGCCTGCCCCCACCCCGAGCCTGAGCACCGGCCAGGAGCCCCTGGGTGCTCCCGGGTGGGTCAAGACCCTGCACACAGACTGGCCACTGCTGTGTGTGCGTGCGTGCGTGCGTGCGTGTGCGTGCGTGCGTGTTGCCCTGCGTCCCTCCATCCTCCATGTGGCCCACCTTCTACACTAAGATTTAAGACGTTGCCTCGTATTGTACATTTTGGGGAAAGCCTTGGGTGTAAATCAGTGTAAACTTGGAGGAGAGATTTTTCTATCATGTAGAGTAGGTATTTTTTATAGATTGAAGGTTGATCAATTTTTTAATACTTCCAAGAGAGAAAACTATCTGTGTATACACATAAAATATATATATATATGTATGATAATAAATACTGGAACTCTGCTTTCCGTGCCCAGCCCTGCCCTGGTGACACAGACGTGGGTCTGTTTCTGTCCATCACTCAGCGGTCCTGTAACTGTAAATATGAATTGCCAGGAGATGTTTCACATGGACACCCAGGCCTTCTACTTGCACGGTGACTCTGTTTCCTTCCTCTTGAGAAAGACTCTTCAGGCAGAGCAGTGGTGGCCTGGATGCTGAAGGGCAAGTCCAGGACAGTCTGGCTGAAGATTAAAGCTGTCTATACACACAGAGGCCGGCCTCTTCCTCCGTGGGGTCTGGGGGCTGGGTGGGGTGCCATGGGCCTGGCCTCCCAAGGTATTGGGGGGGGCTGTGTACCATGTAAGCTCTGCAGGAGACCTGGTCAAGCTGACCCCTCCCGGAGGTCCCAGGGTTGCACCTCCAACCTGGACCCCCAGCAGAGCTCAGCCGAGGGGCCCTCCTGGGGTGGGGCCATGTGATGGGTCCTTTGGGGTCACGGGTGTTCACGGTAGGACATAGCTGAATGCAGGCTGGGCTGAGGGGTTGCATCCCAGGTCAGGGACTTGATGTCCCCGTGGGACGTGTAATCAGGGATGATGAAAAGGCCTGTGGGGTTCATGCAGATTACCCAAACTGAAAGCACATGCTCTGGCAGGATTTGGCTTGAAGATGAGGAAGAAGGTCGGGCTGGTGGCCAGGCTGGGGAGGAGAGCTCAGCTACCACCATCGTCACGGGGAGGACCGTAAGAAGGTTCTTTGGGTAAGTGGGCATATGTAATTTGAAGTGGGAGTTGTTAGCCAAAGTCCCCAAACTTGATTCCCCAGCCCAGGCATCCACGTGAGCAGCAAATCATGCATTTACCACCTCCCTCACACTGAGCTAGCTACCTGCATGTCAGAGACAAATGGACCAACTGAGGCCCACAGAAAGCCAAGGACCCCACCCCCAGCCACCCAGCAGGGCACTGAAGGGGCTTGAGCCCAGGTATGCTGGCCTATGGGGCCAACGACCTGAGGGCGGTGGTGAGTGGACATGGCCTGGCTTGTGGTGAGCAGGGGCCCCAGGACTCCAAAGGGTCACCAAGGTCAGGCCTGGGAGACCTGGATGCTGTGTAGGTTGCAGTGAAGCGGGAACCTGGGGGGCTGTTGGGGTGTGGACATGTCCAAGGCCAAATTCCTGCCCAGAGCCACCTCCCGGCTAGTTTTCCGGGGTCTGGAGAGTATGTAAAGGTCCAGGCTCCCACCTGTGCTCCTGATGCTCCACGCAAGTACTTCCCCTAAACAGGCAGACCAACGCGCTCTCATTAGCAAGCCCATCAGTGGGACTTGTGCCCAGCTGCCCACAGGTGGGACCGGCAGAACTCGTGGACCGGGATGGATGGCATTGTGCTGTGGCTTGGGGTAGAGGCTTCAACCCCAGACTACTGTTGGAGCTCTGCACATAGGGCCTGCTCAGCCCTAGGGGTGCCAAAGTGCTGCCGTGGCAAGTTCAGGTCAGTGAGGGTCCAGGAGAGCCTGGTCCCCAGCCTGGGCGCACTTGGTGACACCCGCCTTCCACCTACCCTGTCGGCCCATCTGGAGCCTGCAGGGCCCATCTCTGCCTAGGAGAAGCTGAAAGTGGGGAGGGGGCCTAGCTCCATCAAGTGTTTCATTTATGCTCTTAAACATGTGGGGGCCTATCCATGGTCTGGCCCCACCAGCAGCCGATTCTGAGATCCTGCCCTGGCCCTCCCAGGGTCCCTAGTCCAATGGGGAGACCCAGTTATCCACTGGAACACGGTGGGGCCGCAGAACACTTGGAAATCCACCATAAATGGAGACAGCAGTGCCCACTGCCAGCCAGGAAGGGCCCCCCGGGGCTAATCCTGTCTCAGGTCAGCTCATGTTGCTAGAGGATTGCTTGAACCTTCCAAGTCTTCGTCAGTCCTGCATGATGGAGGAGCACAAAGCAAGGAAGACAGCTACTGGTGGGTGGGTGCATGGCTGTCGTGGTTCAACTGTCCCTCGAGCACCGCCCAGCCCCTTGCCTCGGCCCTGCTCCAACCAAGCCATGCTGAAGGAAGGGTGCCCATGTTTGCTCCCAGCCTGGCTGCCCCAGCACCTGCCCTTCCACCTGCTGGCAGTTCAGAGACCTGCAGTTGGAGGCCCTGGGAAGGGCCCTTTTTACCTTATATGAGCATTTGCTGTCCTGTTTAAGCCAGGCATGGGGGGTGAGGGGCGGTTCACAAAGCAGGCAATGATGGGTCATTCCTTAAAATTGGCCAGAGCACAGGTTGCACAGCTCTCAGCACAAAGGTGTCTTGCACTTGACCCACCTTGGCCCCAGCATGCATGTCCCACTCCTGAGGGTCCCTGAGCCCAAATCCCGATTGAATCTCTATTCCATGATTGGGCCCTTTGGGTCCCAAAGCTGAGAACAGCACGGGCACACAGGGACGCTCGAACCAACGCACAGGGCTTTGTGTCCGGCCCTTCCCAACCCTTGGTCAGCTCCCTCCTCTTGGACATGGAGCAACTCCAGTCCTGAAGACTCCTCCTGAGGCCTTCTTGTGGTGACTCGGCTTCTCCCCCAACAAGAGGCCTTGGCCCCTTTCTGGGGAGGGCAAGAATGCTCCTTACCCCCATGTAGGCTGTGGCTCTGAAAAGTTGCAGTGAGCAGACAGGGATCTCAGCTGTTTCAGCTGCTTCTCTTGTTGGGAGGTTACAGGGCTGTGGACACCAGTCCAACAGCCACCCCAGCCAGTGTCCATTGGAAGGGGTAGGGGAGGGAAGGGGAGCTGTGGTTACTGAGCCCTGCCGCGCCCCCCCCCCCAGGAGATGGCCCTTGACTCTCTCTCCTCATGTGATTCCACAGCCACACGAGGTCAGAGGCCACATGTCACCTTCATGCAAGTGAGGAAGCGCAGGGCAGGCCAAGTCACTCAACAGCTCTCTGTCCCCACAAGCTTGCTGCTTAGAGCACTCAGGAAGCAGCTCCATCCCTGCTGCAGCATCTGGAGAGTGAGACAGGTTTTCCTGGGGCTTGGTCTCCTGGGAGCACTGAGCCCTGTCCCCGTAGGTCCTACTGAGGTTAGCTGACTTTCTGGGCAAAGGAACAGACATGACCCAGTCTGGAGGCAGAATTGGGCCACAGCCACTCTCCCTGAATCCCTCTTAGCTGACATGCCTTGCTTCCGCGTCTCCTGCATGACCAGTGCCTCCCCAGGCTCCCCAAGTGCCCCCGATTGCCTCCCTCTTCCCGCTCTACAGCCTCCCTGTGCTTCACTTGCATCTGATAAACCGCCTTCCTGCATGTCCTGCTGCAGAGGGGCCTCCAGTTTCGTGACTGCTGGTTGTGAGTGACCTCAAGCTGCCCAAAGGGAACCTAACGGGAGACACTGGACCTAGGAGGCTCTTCTGTGCATTTGGCGAGGGAGGGTTCCTGTTCAGAGGCCCCGGCGGAGCAACACCGCCTTCCCAGGTTTAGGGGTCTTACTGCCGGGCGCCGGGCTGAGCGCTCCGTGGATGGTATCTCATTTCGTCCTCTTTTACCGAGGAGGACACCGAGGCCCACAGAAGTAATGTGACCGCGTCCCGCTGTGAGTGCCAAGGCCTCGTCTCCACCCAGGTCGGTCCCACCAAAACTGGAGCTGTGGACCACGAAGCCTTGAAGAAGGGCAGAGAGGGTCTGGGGCAGCTGGAGGGCGGGAGGCAAGGGGGGGCTCAGGAGACCCAAGCAGGGCGCTACGGAGGTCTGCGGGCCGCGTGGACACGGGGGGCCAGGGCAGAGTCGGGGTCTCGTCCAGGCAGCCGGGAGAACCGGCCAGAGCCTCGCACCTCGGCCTGCGAGGGGGAGCCGGAAGCGCAGAGACTGGGCCGTCTGGAAGACCCGCCCCTTCCTCCCGCGCAGGCTATTCTGGGAGTAGTAGTCGCAGTTCTGTCCTCGAAGCATCCCTTCCGCCACTCGGAGCCAGACCCGACACGCGGCGCCGCCCGGGCCCCGGGGTTCTGCCATCTCCAGCGGTGCTGGTGGGCGAGGCGGCCCGGGAAGTCGGCGGGCTCCTGGAGGGAGCCGATCGCTGCGGCAGTTGGCAGACACCCGAGGACTACAACTCCCGGTCCGCATCGCGCGCCGGCCACAGCCCCGAGCTTCCGGCCTGGCGGCGTCGCGCGGCCCTGTGGGAGCGGTAGTCCGCGCGCGCGATTCACAGCGCCGTGTGCGCCTCAGGCGCGCCGTAGCTGCGGGGCCCCGGCCAGGCGCTACGCTACGGAGGC